AAATAAACATGAAATTCCTCTCATAAAAATAATGAAGTCCAAAAAAATAGGCAAGGCCAAGTAAAGCCCCATGGCCACACATGCCAACATAATGGTTATCAAAACCTGACAAACATTTCTCGGTAAATATGGAGACCTAATATTAAGATCATCATCACATACAAAACATCATATTACTGGATATTATTGGGATGATGGTCACTAAGACCAAGATTCATTAGAACACTTCTTTCGTGCTTACATATTTGAATGAGTAACACCCTTCTCTCGTGTTTGATAGTTAGGTCCATAGTCATTGATCAAACCATATATCCATGTGTATTACTACCTTAAATAGTTTATACAAACACAAGGCGGTACTAAAACACAATGTATTAGAAACTGGCTCTTTTCGAACATATTAGCACTTATCTCCTAATGTCTATAATCTCCATTCATATTAAAAAAACAACCAAGATATAATCAAAGAAGTATAAAAGATATAATAAAGTTACTTAATCTTCTTTTCCTCTATGACCTTACCATGTAATATGGAATAGATTTCACACCTGAAAACTATGTAACGTGGTACCTGAGTTTCCTTGATTATTGATTTTGCTTGTTGAGGAATTTTTGTGATCTTGGAAGAGTACATAACTGATGAAAAATCACTTGGTCATCATCTTTTACATGTTGATGAAGCATCCACCTCTTCGGCCGTTGGATTTTCCTTACTTAAATGAAAAAATACTATTCTTTATGTCATCACACAAAAAATCACACTCTTGATGTTCACACCGATTGTAGGGTTTTCTATGCTTCCACTAAGACTCTCTACACATCTCTTCATTGCGAATAGAAATCAATATGTTTTCATAGGTATTATATTTCTAGTTCTTTATGCAATTCCCCGATTGAGTACTCTTCACATAGAGTGTCATATCTCCTCAACTTTGTATTAACTCTCTCTGAAATTTTACTATTATGAATTATGTTCATGGCACACTATAAAACTTTTGAATGAGCCCTAAAAAGACTTACATTATAAGGAGTACAAAAATGTGCCTTAACATGCCACATCTTTTAATATATTGCATAATAGAAAATGAGCATTCCATGATAAAAATATGATCTCTCTCAACTCATGAAGAGTTTATCTCTGAAACTTTTTTAGTATTGAAATAGACTAGAAAAACACAGAATAATGCTCAGCTCCATCCCGAAATCACACCCTTCAGTAGTCTACTATACAATTTTCACAACAAAAAAATAGGTTGCACATCTCTCAATAAAATAATTGTTTCTCTCAATTCAGAAAAGATTTCTTCCTCAAACCTTTTATATTGAAAACTAGACTCAAAACCAAATATTGACATCATGATGTAAGTCTTAAATAATATTTTTCTTCATAGAAATAAATAATTGACATTCATTTCACAAAACAGGTCATACTGCATAATTCCAGGATGAACACTATCTAGTAAAATTGTTTTTCCTCTCTACCCACATGAAATTTGCCTTTCAAAACTATTTTATTTGAACGTAAACATAGAATGGTAACACATATGTTTCTGCAGGTCTCTTATCACTATGTTCAGTACACTTGACAAATATAGACATTTATATATCAATGAAACACATCAAACTGCAGAAATTCAATACGACCTCTCTCTAATAAAAAAAATTTATTCTTTATTTCCCATGGATATTTCTCTCTCAAATTTTTTTTTAGATATTAAACTCAAAATGGCAATTTAGAAACTTAGTGTGGGCTATAAAACACTTTGTTACGAGTGAAAATAAAATCATGACTTCCAAGTCACCGAAACAGTTTTCGTTGCAAAAAACAATACTTGCATCCCTACAATAAAATGACTATATCTTTTAAATCATGGTTTTCTCTATGAAATTTTTTTGTTGAAAATAGACTTAATTTGATGAGTTACAATCAAATGTTACCCAAAAATAAAGTCAATTGATTGGTGGAAATATTCATGAAACTCATTGGACAGTTCTTAGATTTTATCGGGTCAGAACTAATATCCTTCATTAATGATTCTATAACTCTAAATTTCCATAGGATCTCCTACTGAAATTTTGCAGGAAAATTCTACTCTCGAAAACAGAAAATATCACTAAAGTATGCAATAGATAAATACCTCATTAACTTCTTCATATAAGTGCTCCAAAACATCATAGAATACCTAATTTTGCATATTATCTTTTCTGTATTTGAATGTGCTAATAATTCTTCCGGAGGTATATCACTTGACCACAAAAGTCATTGACTTTGTTATCTCTGATTTCCAACTCATCAAAAATAATGAAATAAAAGAAATAAAGAGAAAATAGATCTAATTTGATACAAATGAAAGTTGGCCTACGTGATCTAGTATGGTGTATATAATTTTTAATTTTTTTTCACATCAAACTAGAATACTTATAATGGTCTAATTACAATAAATTCAACCAATAACAAATAAATGAATAATCAAAACTGGTTCTCACTTATTGTCACTAATTACAACTTTTTTTATTCAAATGAATAAAACCAACATAATGCTTTTGTGATAAGAAAGCATAAGAAATAAAATATTGCAAACCACAAAGCAAGATACTGGACAATTACCTCAACCGGAGTTAGTACACCCCCACGACGACTCCTTTTCCTATAGTGCATAAGATTGACTGAACTTTATCTGATCTTCCAGATATAAGAAAACACTGGCTAAACTCTTTCACAAAGTATGAGAGCAAAAAAACTATCTTCTTCAAGGTCTCAATGCCTTAGAAATGCTCCTATTTTTCTCAATGCCTTAGAAATGTAGAGTGGGACGTACCCATTTTTCTCAATGCCTTAGAAATGCAGAGTGGACGTACACATTTTTCTTGTGTTCTTATGGGGTCGTACCCGTATATCTCTATTAGAGAAATGAGAACTTGGAGAGAGAAAATTTCCAAAAGGTGGTGTGTCACCCCTAAAAGAATATAAGAGAGAGAGAGAGAGAGAGAGAGAATTTTGGTGTAGAAAATGAGAGGTGGAGAGGCCCCCTTTTATAGATGGATAAAGTTTCATTGGGAATAACAACTTTTAAATTTATCAGGTCGGGTCCAATTGATCTTAAGAGTCATGTGGGGTGAGAGATCTAAACCTTTCATTCTGAAGATCAAATATCATGATTCAAAAGATGATACAAGACCTTATTCTTCAGTTTTCTAAACATTTATTCCATCAAAATATAAGATAAGTAAAATACTAGGTACAATGTAGCTAGTCAAAAACTCTTTTCTTGTTTACATCTTTTTTAGAGTTCTTAATCTCATAAGATTCATAACGCATATCTTGTTTTCAATTTGAATTGCTCAACAAGATCTCATTATATTAAAATATATCTAGTTTTAATTTGACTTGATCAACAAATCTTTATTATTAAACCATATCTAAACACAATAACTAGAATCTCTATAAAAAATGAGTTGTACAAAAATAGGACATGCCATCTTCGACCTTACATAAAAAAAATGGCATGCCCAAGTTAACTCCACAAAAAGTGGCATGCCAACTTGGAGACTTTTAGATGGGACCCATGTGACATGCCATCTTCGGCCTTACATAAAAAAAAATGGCCTGCCCAAGTTAACTCCACAACAAGTGGCATGCCAACTTGGAGACTTTTAGATGAAACCCATGTGACCTCAAAATAAAAAAAATTAATTTTTTTAAAATGGTTTTGGATATTTAGAATATGTGAAATAAATTTTATTTATTATCTGAACATTTAAAAACTGGAAATTAAATATTTTTTAATTTTATAAACTCATTTTATAAAAATTAAATATCCAGAGATAATTAAAAATTCAAACAA